TCTGTTTAAGATGAAATGCCTAATCTAGATGTATCATGAAGAAATATTTGAATGACAAGTTGGCACAACCCTGTCCCAGCCATTTACAGTCATAGGGAACGCTGGCGAGGACAGCTGGGAACGTATGCTGTCAACACCCAATTTTCAGTTGCAATAAAGACTTTTTGTCAAACTCAGACCCGTCTATCTGATTTCTTAAACAAAATCAGGATAAATATCCTGGCAGCTGATATAACTAACTCTGTGGAGTTTGACCATCTTCATTCTAAATTTACTAGCAAATCGATATGCATTCAAGGACACCCTTTGTTTCTGCAAAACATATTAAGATCTTAGGGGCTCCCACACTTTATACCAGTGGGAGACAGATGGGTCTCCAGGAAACTTAACAGGCGATCTTAGTTCTATTCCAAATATGCTTACTCAGTATTACGACAAATGTTCTTTATCCTAGGGGTTTCCAGAAAATCTACTTTACCCTAAGATCGGCTTTTGAGAAAGCAGAAACAAAGTCCAAACCTGACAATTTTTCCCAGTGCAGGGTAATAACAAAAGGGTTTCAACAAATGGGTTTCAAACTCAGCCACTGTCTCACTTCTAACAGTTCTTTGGGATAAGGGTGCGGTGAAGGGGATGGCTTCACAAATCAAGCATCATCTCAGTTCTTACCGAGGAACCGCTTTGAACCTTTTTGTGCCACCAGTCCTAGATTTCGTTTCTTGTGCCTGCTTCTTCCATTGGCTAAGTACTACTTCTTTCTCAGGTCACCTGTCAGGTTACTGCTTTCTTTTCATATAAATACTTCTTTAAAACCTGCTTATTTTATGAAGCTCACAAAACAAGTTACCAATGAATCATTGCTTTTTAAATGCAGCTAGGCATGCACAACCCTTTTCTTTCATGCTACAAACTTTTCCTGAGTGGTCATATCATCTTCTGTCTATCAAATTCTCTACCTTCATTCCATCACTCTCTCTGAAACTAGAGTGCAGACTGAATGCAATACAGATCATGTCATCTTACCAGTGCTTACAGGGAACCAGCAAAATACTGAGCACAGCAAAATAAATAATAACTACTTCTACTAGTAAAATGCTTCTCAGTTTTCTGTCAATGCTGTTATTTACATCAAAATACATCCTAAACATTTTGGATAAAGTTGAAGCATACATTTTAGTGAAATAACACTTTCTGAAATACTTCAGAACTACTGATTGCAATGTTACCTTGCTTGTTTCTCACCCTCCTAATCAAGACACAGCAGTAAAGGGTGAAGTGTCCAGTTATTCCCTCTACTAAAACATTCAAGATACTCATACATCTATTTCATTCACATTGACGAATTCAAGTTATCTGAGTATCTAAAAAGTCTCACAACATATGGATCTAGAGTCCCAGAAAAAAAAAACAAAACAAAAAACTTTCCTTTAAATGCTCCAATACTATAGAGAGTAAGGGAAAGGGTAACTGCAGCCATCAAAGAGCAGGACTATTTTCCGCGACTTGAAACTCTGATGCCTCGTACAGCCTTCATTAATCATTAGTGACAGAAGCCAGGAAGACTTGGTTTCACCTGCAGCTAACCCAGAAACGGAACCCTTTCTATTAATATGTGGATCTAGGCAAAGTGATCCATGCTTTTGTAATCCCAAGCTTGGATCCATCCAATTTGCTCTTCCTTGCTCTGACCCAGATGTCATTCCACAACCTACAGATGGTTCATCATGCTGTATCCCATCTGTTAAGTTGAACACAGTAATGAGAATACATCACATCAATATTCCTCACTTCCCTTTGGTTTTCATTCTAACTCTGAAGATAGCTGAAGGTCCTTTCAGTGGTCCATGACTAAATCAGCTAAGAGAAGACCGCTTCATTCTGGTTCCTGAAGAAGACAGATATCAACAGAGATGCTATGGCTGAAGGATGTGAGATGCAAATTTGAATGTATGGGACAGAGAGCTCCTGGATTCAGCACTCACTTCAACACATTGTGTTTTGTTATTTTTAGGTTGTGATAAAAGATTCATCGCTTCCTGTGGGTAGGTTGCTATCAATGGAATGACCCCAGCCCTACGTTTCTACATGAAAAATTAAGCCATGTTGTTCGTAAGTAAATAATTAAGGCTGGAAGAGGAAATGGTTCTGTACTGAAGGATTATTGATGTCTTATTAAATTTAGGAAATTACACTTAAACACTACCGCATGTACAGTGCATACAGTAAAAGAGGTCTTACAAATGTGAACTAATAGCATATCAGTATTAACAATATGCATGCATGAAAAAACATTATTTAGATAACCTTGAAATGTGGAATTCTTAAGGGAATATAATTATATGAAATCAGTGCTAGTTTGGCACTTAAACAGCAGTGCTACTGTGTACAGGTGGTCAGTGCCTAAAATCCTCTAAAAACTCCTCTAAAACTGCCTGTCCTCTAAAAATTCAGTGTAGTGCAATATCATTTCTAGTTATTTTACTAAATAGAAAAAAAATTAAAACTCCTCTATGCTTTAAGGTGAAAGTTTCCTTAAAATAGACTTTTTGAGCAGGAAGGTGGACCTATTTCTCATAAAAAATGGATGACAGTAAAACCTTTAGCCAGATTTCTGGGTAAAATCTTGACTGCAAGAATGTAATCCTTGAAATTTAGAAGAGAGAAATTTTCCTGTATTATTGCATGTAATTGGCTCATGTGACTTCAGTGGTTGTAACTCTTTATTTGGTTTTAAATTTGTTTCTTTCTCTACTTTTGAGAAACACAACTTGCAGAATTACAAAGGATAACAAATGCTCTAGAACCAATCAATGTTATGAAACTAATGGTAATACAATATAAGCATGTAAGCTTATGTAGTGCCTTTCATATAGAAGTATCCCAAGGCACTTTGTAACAGAAACTCAATAAGGAGTGCAAAAGTGCTCTGTCAGATAGGATAAGCCAGGGGAAAAGGGGAAATTAATTAAGCATGGATTTAAATTTCTCGGCCAATAAGGCATTTAGAACCTTGGTCAGAAAAGACAGTGGTTCCAACATCTGTATCCAGGGAACATAACAGACTATTTCATTCTTTAGTTCTTAAGAAATGCTCAATAGTTCTTCCACAATAATATGGGTATGAGTAACAGGAATAAGGTTCATAGGCTACATTTTTCAAAAAGCAGCCTCTGCTTGCCGTTCTGCCTTTAATTTTTCATACATAAATGAGTTCACAAAAGCTGATCACCTGACTTGTATGCCAGTAAAGCTACTTGACTGCTGAGATACCCAGTATGGAATTTTGTGTCGTAGAAATTACAAATCCTGGGATAGGGTTTGGACAATGGCTTTGTTGATTGTTTAGCTCAGTATTTCAAATCAATGTATGGTTCTTCATCGAGGCATTACACACAGAAAGAATAATCAGTGACACAGTAGTTCTGAAGATAGTATATGTTTCACAGGGAACAGTAAAATTGCTTGGGAAAACCTATATAAATTGATAATGCATAAATTACAGCTTCGCTGATGTTGCAGAAACTTGCACATCCTTTATTTTTCAAACATTTTTCTCTTAGGAACACATGGACCATCCTCATTTTTGGATGACTGCCTCTTCGGATTAATGCATCCTTCTGGTGCATAAATTAGGGATGCACAGAGGAAAAAGGAGAAGCATTAAATCTCAGGAAACTGAATCCATATAGAAAAATGAGGTTCAGAGTACAGCTGAATGAGTGACTCACCATGAATAATTTATCTGAAAAGTTAGCCTCTGCTTCTGTTCACGGAATAAATAAATGAGGCTTATAATTTCCTCAGCTTTATAACAAAATAAAACTTTAAAATATTATACGACTTAACTGTAAATAACTTGCTGTAATTATTTCATACCCTTTATTAAAAAGAGAGTGGCATTTGGATTGACCAGATAAATCACATGATGCTGTTTCTGTTCCCTAGATGGATGAACTCACAAGCAGGTGTGTTTCAGATGCCTGCAATCCTTATCAAAGCAGCTCAGTAGTGTGATGAAGAAGGAGGAGTGCAGCCATAAGAAGTTAATTTAAGAAAAACTTTTAAGAGATTTTTGCAAAAATACTCTCAGTATTTATCTTGTAGTTGTAGCTCATTGTACTTTTTGATGGATAATTGCAGGGATTTGCAGCCATGTGTAAATATTTTTTTGAGGGATCCTGTACACTCATGTCAATTATTAAATTGCAGTATGAAAAGAGATCTTGTCCTAGTAATAAACTTGAATTTGACAGTACATGTTCTCTCTTGAGGACTCAGTGCTGAAGAATATAACAGTCTTTCCAAACCTTATTCTAAGCCCATGTATTAGTAAAATTGCTATTTCTAAAGAAAAGAGATCTGAATTATTACATTTTATTATACTTATACATGGGGTATGTAATTCAGATATTAAAATTTTACTAAATTATTGACAATCTGAAATATTATCGTAGGATTTATGGTTTTGACTGGATTGCGATCCTTTATGCAAATTTGAAAAGAATTCTCTGCTACTTCAGTAAACTATAGAATCTCATAAGATACCTGAAAAACCAGAAATCTGTGTTATTTAGAATTGCAGCAATTGACAGGGACTGTTTTATAAAAGGAATCTAATAAAATCCTATAAAGGTCAATATCTCTTAGAATGTTCATATGTTAAAATATTGTAATATTTGTTACACAAAAAAGAAGGATTGATGAGAAGCCATACTTGTTTATGCTGTGCCCTGTCTCACACTAAAGATAAAGAAAGTATATTAGAATCCTGCCCAATTTGCATTAATTTTAGGTTATACTTGCATAATTACTGTTAATCTTTTATTTCTGGTGTATTTAAAAAGTGAATTTGCATCAAGTACTTTTTGTCAGAGCCATGCTAAATCTCTACTTGATGTACTATTTACTGGATTCTCTGTTTTATAGCAATATCTTTGGTATGAAGTCATCGATATAATCATAAAATAAAACAAAAAAAAAAAACCTGTATGAGTTCTTACCTGAGCTCTTGCGCTATAGAGTCCACTTGAACTGTTAATAAAAGCAGAAAGAAAGACTGAATTAGTTTACAGTTCCAGACTGGGTTTTCTGTAACCTTGCACCTGCCTGTCTGTGATGACAGAGGAGTGGCTATCAAAACACAGGTGATTATTTCATACTAACCACAGGACTGTAGCTACTACAGGCAAATGTTAACTGAACATGTAATTCCCATCATTATTTTAGAAAAAACATGAACAAAATGTAGAGCATGATCTTCAGCAGAGAAATATGAAAAAACTGAAAAATAAAAAAAGGAAAGCACTCACTTTTATTGAAAGCACGATGAGAAATTTTGGCTTTTACTGAATGTTAATTTGATTTGGGAAGGAAGAAGGCTGGTGTTTACAAATACCTGCCCACACAAGGATATACAGCATATTGACAAAGCCAACAGGTGGTTCTAAAGATTACTCATGTTGCACAGGCAACTTTTGTTGTTTCACTTCTGGGAAAATGTTCCTGAACTACTAATTCATACACACGTGTGTGCATGTGTTTAAAAAATAGAGAAAGACAATCCATAAGTTCTCCAAAAAGTTTAATTAGCTTTTTAAATAAAAAAGATTTTAAGACTAAATCCTATATTAATAATGATTAAAGACTGATAACTAAAAGCCAGCCAGACTCTCTTAACTAGTAGTCCTGACCAGCAGAGAAGGAACGCTCTGTTGCTGAGGTGTGAGTAACTTTCTTATTCAATAACTCCATACAGGTCCTCTGTTCTGGTCCTTTTGAAATATATATAAATTCTACATTAATTTCAGAGAATATTTCTGAAGGATATTTCAAATACTTGATATGATAATGCTTATATTTTTAAGAAAAACTTGTTTACTTTTATCCCCTTGTCTGTGGACAGCTGGTGGAACGTCCGTTCACTTTGCTTCTGTCTTTTCCTAAGTGAAGTCTAGCAGTTTTCAGCTCTTTGGTGATATGAAACTAGACAATTAAACCAAACTGCACTTTAATTTTTCATTCTGACCACAACTTGAAGCTGAAGGCACAATATTAACAATCTAGAAGTACTGAGTTGTGACAATTGTCAAATTGTTTTGTTTTTCATAACCCTGAGAGTGCACAGTTACCATTAAAATCAGAGCGAAGGACAAGTGCTCTGCATGTCTGAAAACAATCATAAGCAAAAATGCTCACAGGGAAGGCAAAACTTTGACATTTGTTTGTATATATCTCCATTTTCCACTCGTTATCAACAGTTACAAGAAGTGTTATAAATTAAAATAAAAAGTTATTTTCCTGGAAGGACTATATTGCTAGTTAATCATGTTTTCCAGATGTTTAGATCATTAAAGGCCTGTTTATCTCTCAGTACTGCATTTCCATCTGTTCCTTACAAAAAGAGAGGAATAGCTGGGAAATATAACTATGTCATAACTTTGCAAAATGAAACACAAGTACCAGCACTTAAAAGAAAAATACAGGGTTCCCCTCTATTGCAGACACTTGCACCTTTCGATTAAAGTAAATTTACTTCTGGACCACTTATGCAGATAATTTATAGACAATTAATGTTAATAGACAGAAAAATATTCATTTGGCTGGATAAAGTTTTCCACATTATTTTGAAGGCACGCATTCAGTATTGTCTAGTTCTACGCCCTATAGAAAATGTTTGTTTGCATATTAAAAAGTATAACCTTTATTTTATTTGAGAAATAGCTCAAAGAAGATAGCATACAGTAGATTTTTTTTCCATTTTTCCTTAAACTATAGCTAATAACATCGTGACTGTTAATGCCAGCAGCCTGTGTCCTGCATTGATTAAAAAAGCAGCCCTAAGGAAGCCACACACTCTCTTACTGCACGTTAGGGACAGTGCACAGGAACTATCGTATTTCATGGTGTGCTGGGCACAGGGTCGTGGAGTGTGCTTGTTAACTCACCCTTGGTTCCTTTTGAGCGTGTGCGCAGCTTTTTATTTTCCCCATCTGCATCCATCTGTAACATTAAAACAAAGTCTTTAATTCATTCCTTTTGCCATTGAGAAAAACAGTCTCTAGTGCTTTTTTCACATTTCCAAAGGCTAGACAGTAATAGAAAGAAGAATAATCATGCCTTATTAATCTTGTCAAAGAGATAAAAAGCCATCTGTGAATATCTAGTAAATACCTAGGAGATACCTTTAATGATACAGATTTGTTCAACAAAGTGATGGTTATGAGTGACTCTTGAAGGTTTAATGACAAGGTCTACAGGTGTTAGCTCAAGATATAAGGTTAAAAATGGCAATGTACTATGACTGTTGCTTTCAGCATCCACTTCCCTGAAGAGCAGGTCTCAGAAAGCCCCAGTGCCTACCGTTGCTCATCATCACTGTTGCAAGTGAAACATATCCTAATAGTTGCAAAGGAATGTGCATCTCTGACAGCTTCAAACTTAAAGAGTGAAATCCTATTGCTTGCATGTGCATAACTAGGCACGCACAGCTAAAAAATGCTGCACCACTTATATCAACTCCTTAAGGATGCATTTGTTGAGGAGAAAGTTAAAGATTTGTACAAGTTTTGGAGAGAAGATCAGGTTCAGGTTTGGATTTTACAGAAAAAAAAAAAACAAAAAACTGTGAGCTGCTGCCATAAGATTTCTGACCGAAATAATAGTCACCTTGCAAGATTGCTGTTTTCATGACAATTTTGGCTACATCTAAACCAGCACTGGAAATATGTACCTTCTGGTCTTGGAACTGGCCCAGACCCATAATTGTAGGGGCAGGTTTTCAATCCGCGGATTTTATTACAAACTCCTGAAATTCAAAAGGATTAAGATTTCATGTTCTGGTGTGGAAAGCTGCAGTGACATACAGCAGATTGCATGACAGTATAATTTTGATCATGTCCAAGGAGGCAAACTCCTACACTTTCTAAAAGTAACACCTAATTCTTACGTAAGGTAGAATCTATCATGAGGAATTTTGAACTAGGTAAAATAACAGGAACTCTTCAATCCTCCTTCAACCTATGTTATCACGTTACAGTCTATCTTTGCTTTGAATCTCATTTTCTCTGTAAACAGGTGATAGTCAAACATGCTGTAGATGAAGCCATTCTCATGTTTTTCCACTGATTGATATGTAGGAACAAATGCAGACACTAGCATCTGATTTGTGTAACTTTATTGGGCAAAAGGTAGCTGCAGAGTCGCTGTTCTGAGGATACCTGTGAATCTTTCCTGGTAATAGGTGGCAATGCATGCCAGCAGAAGATCCCCTCTATTATTTCATCCTTTTGGAGGATCAGCACCACTGATTTTCTCCATAAGGGGAAGATGTAAAAAGCTCTGTTTGTGCCCTTTTCAGTTTATAGAGTTTAAAGAACTTAGGATGCTTTATTTTTAAGGTTTATATGACTCAGGTAACTGGATGTTTTGAAGGTGTAACCTGAAAGAATCTTGCAGAATGTAGCAGAATTAACCTGAGAAAGAAAAACAGTTTCAGTCAGCCTTTCTAGAGGTAAAGAACTATTTCTCTAACTTCCTGGCTTTTTCTGGTTCATTGCTATATATGGCTTCACATGATATGCAGCCAGGGGAATCAAAATACCTATTTACAAGAGACAACAAACGCATTCAGAAAGGGTATTCATGTACTTGAAGAAATCTAATTCTAAAATCTCAGTTAATGATATCTGAAATGAAAGTATGTATTGATCACAACACCTCAAAGCCAGGCAATGTTATCTTTTCTCTGCTTAAATTTACATCTGATGTTCCGTCTCTGTCGGGAAGAAAAATAAGTAAGTGGCTTATGTCTATGTAGTGGAGCTGATGGCAGCCTTTACTTGCTACTATCCTTAAAACCTGGAGAACGAGTTTTTGCAATGTGACTGCAATGGTAATGGGAAACATCGCTCTGTTCTCTGATGCTGAGTTGTGATTGAAGGCACTGACCTGCCATAGACTTATAATAGGGGAGCAGGTGTGGCAATGATGGACTTTAATTTCCTTTAATAAACCTTTTATGTGCCACACTTTTACTGCCATTCTATGCTCTCCAAGGTCCTGCACATAATAGGTTCATTACTTTTGATTACTATAGTCTATTGAGACAAACAACTCCAGAACACACTATATATTATGTTCAGTTAAACCAATATAGACTATTTATCCACTGTGCATTATTTCACCTGCAACTCTGCACACAAAATTAACAGCAGCTCCTGTAAGCTAAAACTATTAAAACCACTGGTACTACTTTGTCATCATTTCATAATAAATACCACACCAATCACAGTGCTGCTCTTTTAATTATGAAGCAAAAAGTGTCCACTGCTTCTACTGAATAGCAGTTACTTTGCACTAAATAGCATATTGCATTGTGATGAATATTTTAAAAACTGCACAGTGAGTGAAAATCAACAATAAAATCAATGTATGGTGATTTCTCTATTGATTTTCTTTCCTTGTAATAATTTGAAATTATGAGAGATATTTAACCAACTAAAGCCTGCAATTGATAGGACTGTTCAGCCTGGTGCATGCTGCATTGTAAAACAATCATCTCCTAAATGTCTGCGTTGCATAAAGAACAGCTCAACTTACAAAAAGTCCCCTGTATTAACTTGAAAATTTCTTGAGTTACTTGAAAATTAAAGCTGTGGAATCTTAAAAGTGTAACTGCAAAAAGACCTATCTTGCTGAAAATTTGAATGCCACATAACCTTGGGTTTTGTTAGTTCTCTCAGAGATTGCCTAAAACCAAAAAAAGTGAAAACCAGTTCCTCACTTCTTATTTTTATCTACATAGCGATTGTTTTATACAAAACTACGGTCACAGAGAGTAAATGAAAACTATCCAAACTTTCAAATCACACATGGAACAACAAAAGAAATAAAGTCTAAAGGAGAACTTCTGCCCAAAGTTTTTAGAGGCGATTGTTATCAGGGTTTGAATTTGGGAGACGTATCTTATTAATGTTACACACACTAAAGACTGAGCAAATTCTGGAAGGTCCTGAGTGCACTCCAAGTTTGACATGGCCAGCCCTCCCTTCAGAAATATATGTTGGCTTGAGAGAAGAAGTCATAAGAGATAAATAGAATGTCATGTATGCACAAAGTCCTTCTGTCGATCCAATTTTTTTAGCAATCGTGGCCAACACGACAATGTATCTACCTCCCAGGAAAATTCTATTAGGAATTGCAATCTCATATTTTGTAAGGGCAAACTTCATGAGGAAAAATACATCCAATAATAACAAGTAGTTCCCTGAGGAGTGGAACTAATTCCACTATACCTTTACATCTTATAATTAGATTCTCTGATATGATGAGATATAAACTCATCCAAACACTTTCCATTCAAAATTAGTTGAAAATTGTTAATGAAATTGACAGAGACACAGACAGTGAGCAGATATGCAACCCTAGATCATTATGAAAACACGCTAAGAAATTAATGCCTGACTTAGAGTTCTTTCATTAACACCATATTTCTGTGATTTGAAAATTTCCTCTGGATGTTCACGCTAATTTTTTTCTGAAAGCATGATCTGACAAATCTCACTAAGTTTATAAATGCTTTTTGCTTGAATTTATGAATCTGAAAACAGGTCCTCCCTTCACCTTTCCGTCATTATTGTTTGAGACATAAGGCTAAGTCAGTAACTACAAACCAGAAAACTGACTGGAGTCACTGTCAAACACTAAAAACTCTGCTTGACTGAAATTGGAGTAAATTGCTATGTCCATGCTACAATATTCATTTTTCTCCAGATGAGTTTACTGGAAGAGCAGCAATCCTATTTGCCGAGCAAACTATTTCAAAGTTCCTGGCTACAGAAATCAAATGTTGTTTCTCCTGTTTGTACCATCTCAGAGTAGCCAGAATACTTGAGAGCAGGATCTGAAAACACTTCTCTAGGTGAGGGAATCAGGATTTGGCTCTCAGTTTGTTTTTTTGTGCACCTGGAGTATATCTGTGCACGTATGCCTGTACTGATATCATAATAGGATCCAAGAATATGACTAACAGCTGAAACAGAGCTTGTGAAACTAATAATAATAATTGCTATAATAATAATAATGACTCTTTTGGTTTATTTGCATATTTCTAAATCTTAGTTTCAGAAACTGAATTGAACCTCCAGCACATTCTTACGAAAAAAAAGCATGACTCAGGAAGCCAGTGCTCCTGACATCAAAAAAGGGAAACGCACCTCCTGGAAAGAGCTAACACAAGAGCTATGCACTCTCTAATGTCTACTGTAATCTCTGTACAAGCATGACTTTCCGTGAGTGGCTTTCAGACTTCTGGAGTAGCAGTATGTTTCCTTCTGTGTAACTAAACAGAAGAAAATCATCAGTTTATTCAGGAGTAAGGAGTATAAAAGTTGATGTTTCGCTGTGATTTTCCAACAAAAGTTACATCTAATTTTCAAAATGAAATTTGGCAAATAAACAACTTCTCTAGGTCATACTTTGACTGATTTTGAGAGTTCTGAAAAATAATAGCTTTTCTGTAATGTTTGTATATTTGTGAACTGTCCATACCTAAGTTGGTTTAAAGGCAGTATATGCATCTTTCATTAGACTAATGGACCTAGGCAGAAAAAAATGATGACTTTTAAGGTGCAGAAATCATTCTTCAAGTTTCAAACACAAACCACAAACTTCAAAGTTGAAGTCAGACACTGCTAAGCACTATGAACACATCTGTGCTGCACTGTACCCCAAGATAAGAGGATGCTGTGTGTGTGAAAATGCTCCCTCTCCCTATAATAAATACAATCAGTGAAAACTTTTCAGTGTTTTTGGCCCCATCTTTTAACTTTTCTTTTCAACAACTGACTTAAGAATCTAGAAAGAGAAACACAGTCATAAAGAAAAACATTTTTTAAAATGAATCATAAAATAAGAAAATTTTCTGCAATCTGTCCAATAGTAGAGAACTGTGTATAGCTGTTTCTGTATATATGTGTTAAGTGCATCTTTTTGTCTTTCTACAATAGGGTTTTTTTTAGTATGAAATATTAATGACAGAATGAAGATAAGAAGTACAGAGTGAGAAGAAAATGCAAACTGCACATATAGCACCTAGATAAAGCTTATATATTCTTTTTACTGGAAGTGAAAAAGCAGACTTTCACGTTTTCAAATATTTCTATACCAAACTCTGAAGACAAAATTTTCAGGAACATTGCCTGTACTGAGGCTTAAAGTTTCTCTTCTTCTTCTCCTCCTCCTTCTTCTTTTTCTTTTTAATTACACGGTGATAGTTAGAAGGAAGAAAAAATACTAGACTTGCATATTCTTAAAGACTACTTCTGAAAAAATGCCTTATTTCACGATTTGGATTATCCTTAACCAAGGAGTCATCAGATCTTTGTTTTTGAATATTTTACTTTAGTTTACACAATACTATTCTTGATTTCTCTAGGAAAAAGCTGAATAACATGTAAGTAAGTGGTTCAGATGTATTTCTTGCTCAGGAATTGAAATAACCAAGTGCACCTACTGAATGTTCACTTCAAAGAATGTTCATAATATAGGTAAACCATCAAGGATTTGGTATTTTGTAATGTGATTAAATGGTGTATGTATTTTTGAGTAGGTATTTTCATAATGAAGTCACCACTTGAAAATATGTGACAGCAAAATAAACCTTAAATCAGAGACAAGCTTGAACAGCTTTGTAATGAGGATGATTTATTTTGATTCTCACTTCTGATTTCTGAGTTGTCACTGCTGTTGCATACTTCATCCATGCAACTTTGCACAACTGGCAGTGCTGAATATAAACCAAAGCCATATGTTTATGTCCTTTTGCCAAACGACTACAGCAAATAGTTCTATTATTCCCTTAGGTAACCAATGTGTGCCAAGTATTTCTATTAGTCTGCTTTACCAAGGCATTAGAGGGCAGAGTCACAGCTTTCGGAAATTAACGGGCAACGGCTAGCTTTATAAATTCAGAGAAAAATTATATACCGTACCCTGCTGAAATGCACCTCAACACAAGTTGAACTGTGACGCTACTTTTTAAAGTTTTTTTCTTGGATTTTTGTTATAGACATAGTTCAATGTCTTGTCATTATTTCCTAGGCTACTTTAATACGATAATACTATGTCCTAAAAAACATTTTTTCTCCTAATGAAGGAAAAAAGTGCCAATTTTATTCAAAATTAAACTGCTTTGATGTCTTGAGATCTTTCACAAATAAGACAAAGTATTTATTCCACCCTACTGACATATACTAAAAAATTTAATCAATATCCAATATCAAAAAAAAAAATTACAAACACGCCATCGCTCACAGATTAAATATAAACAGTACAATTCAAAATACATTCTCATGCATGGAGGCATAGACATTCAAAGATATCTGTGCTCTTGTAGGTCTATTATCCTTACCGGATGTAGTTCTGAAACTAAAAAACTAAAATTTCTAGGTATTTACAAAGGTTCGCCTCTTTCTCGGTTTTTCAGTATTATTACACTTGATTCTAGACTGCTGTTTTTAATATAGCAAATGCTATACGAGAAAAATAGCCGTAGCAGATGAAACACTACAAGTGAAATCCCACAGTATACTGGTATTAATACACAGATACATTTTGACTCAAATTCGTTTATATAAATAAATTTTCCCACCTTTGCGTGTTTCCAGGTGAAATTATGTGCAGATTCCAAAGGACAAAATTCGTCACTCTGACCAAGAAGTCTTGCCTGTTTTAGCAGATAATCCTGAAATTCATTCTCTGTGGGGGTGGGGGGGAAAGCCATACTGAATAAAATGTAGACGAAACAGGACAGTCATATATCAAATAGGCAAAGAATCCAGGTACATTGTTTTCTCACATAGTTTTTTTAACATGGTATAGAGGCATCAGTGATGCTTTTAAAGGGCAGAAATAAAAGCAAATGTTTATTTTTTAATGGTGCTTTGTTTATATTATAAATGCCCTCTCCAGTAGTTTACAAATTGGACCTACTCTAAGACAAGTTTTTATTTCTACACAGATAGAAACCTATAGTTTATATATGTAGAAGTCCTGACTCAAATCTTTTTACAGAAGCAGTACCCCGTCAATTGTGTAGCATGGTTGAGTACAAGATGAGATAAAGAGAATCATTTAAAAATGATTCTAAAACATTTTAATCATAGTATAGAAATCCCGAGTTTTATTTTTTTCTGATTTTGAAAATTAGTATTTAAAGTTTGGCAGACTGGCAGTGTTCTCACCAGAGGCAAACCGGAGGAAATTCTTGACATTTCCTTGTTCTCAATTTTTATGCCTTTCTGTGAGGAAACTCCCACTAAATAAATGGTAACAACGAAGGAAGAAGAGCTGCAGAAGTTGATATGTGAGTGTACAATACTGAAGGCCTCTGTGTTCAGAAATAATGAACACCCACAGCAAATTTAAGAGAAAATTCTAGACACTTGTAACCTAGGAAAATCGAGCTGTGACCAGTTATTTGTATGCAGTCTATCAGCATCACTCCTGCTCTTGGTGATCAAAATATAAATATTTTATTATCCTTTGCAACTTCAGAGGTAGTTTTCAAATACTTAGTAAAATATATGTATTCATTCTACCTACTCCAATTATAGGTTAATGGAAAAGTTTGCACAGAAACACTTGGAACTTCAAGTTTAAACATTATCTATTCGTTTAATAATATCTGATAAAGTTTTGTCAGTAAAATTTGTAATTTTAACTTTTATTACTGGAAAGGCTCATTCTAAACAGTTTCTCTGAGAAGCTACAGTTTATTTAATAGTGACTTATTTATGCCTGAGTACCAATAGGTAGAATGTTATGCTAGTTGCATCTCATCAATAACTTTTAACTAAAATAAATAAGCTTTTATCAAGTAGCAAAACAGACAACAGATGCAACACGATAAAGAGGGGAGAAAAAACAGAACAAAACAGCTCAATATCTACAACATTTTTTAAGCAGTTTTCCAGCCAGTGTGTTCCCAGAAAGGGATGCTGTTTACCCTCAAAGGCCTCTTTTCCCATTATTCTATTTCAACATCCATGAAAAGAACCAAGAGGAGTTTTAAAGCTTCCTACCTGCCTCTTCCTCTTTGTTCAAAATACACTACCCTAAAACAAAAGACCTCTGAGAACAGCCACAATGGTGAAAGAAGCTCTATCTAAAGCCTGAAACTTAGCAGCTTTTTGTCTAAAATCCTATCATGTTATGTATTTATTAGCAATACATTTTTCATTTATTTTCTCAAAGATTGCCAATAAAGAACCAAATCACATAAGGGAGTAGCTGTAAACCCTTTGAGTTCCCTAATGTCAAACTCATTAGCATCCGAATAACCACACAGCAGCACATCATCTGCACAATTGCAATTTTTTACTACTTTTAATAGCGTTTCTCAAAGGGCTCATTTTCAACTTTCTTCAGTGGTTAGTTGGTTCTCTGGGGAAAAGGAGCTTCCTGACGCTCACAGCTTCCACTCAACAACCAGGCCGTTTGCTGTCAGAAGCATCAGCCCTCTGCCCTAACCCCATCTGCTGTCTCTCTCATCCTAAGGGACTGAGAGTTAGGACAGCACAGCTGAGATCCACTTAGAAAAGTGCACAAAGGACAGGAAAAAATACAAAACTTTTTGCATTTACTTTTACATAATAAGCAAATACATTGAAAATCATGCTTTTAAGAAAATAAGTCTGGGCTGGCTGGGGGGAGGTTAAAATTGTGCTGGAAAACTACATGCAACAGTGCCATTTGCTATTTTATTCCCATCTGTCTTTTATGCCACATCATCAGCTATCTTTGTAAAGCACAGAGCGTTATAATAGGACAAAAGCAAGACTTACATAAAGCACAAACCTGACCCCTCTTCTATGTTTTAATTACAACAGCATTTATTGGTAAATGAGTGTAAATGTGCTATTTTCTATTTTTTTCATATAAAAAGCTGCCATACAGCTGATTCGTGGGTGAGTACCCACGTTTGAAGGTACGATATTTCATAGAAAAAATTAATACAGTGTCATGCATCTGTCATGTTATAAACGGGGTGTGTAGGATTATGCTGTGTCATGGGACGTGACACACCCCTAATGGAATATAAACCATGCGTCATCTGTGCCACACTCCAAAAAGCAACTTAGATTTCAAATATAGTGCTGGGATCTGATACTTCTGGTAGCAAATGAATTATTTTGAGAAGTTAGTGCTAATTTACCTGAACATCAAGATCTAGTACAAAAATTTATTGAGAATCACTTTGTTTTGGCATATTTTATCCATCATAAAATGAACTCTGGGCCAAATTCTGAGGCAGAACAAGGAGTATAGAAAAAAGGACTTCAGGCTGCAATGCCAACTTGAAGAATGAAGAGCGTAGACCCAAGAGCCCCAAAAGACCATCTCTGTAGGTTTTTTGGCAACTTTGATGATAAGACTAATGTTATTTGCAATCAGATAGAAATAACAAGGTTCCCTGATGGGATCATTCACCTTAAGTACACACATATATTCATATGAAGAGTTTTGGCCCAATCTATCCATGCTTTGTATCAGTTCATTCATTCATTTCAGCAAAGAATTGGGAGGACTGAAAATCCATGACTTGCAGATGGTAACTGATGACTATACTTAAACTCCTTATTTTTCTGAACTGATTTTATTTTTTTTCATTCCTGAAGGTGAAGCTTGCCTGCCCACAAACACACCTCCACCCTTTTCAACCAGCATCCCAATTCAACTAGAATGATAAACTCTATAAACCTACAAAGATGGAATAAATTAGTTGCTTGATTTGTCAATGTAATGGTTCAGTGAAGTCACCTGGAACCTTTGCAATTCATTCTTTGTTTTATAGCCGTTTCCAGTGCAACATGATTTTGTACTGACTCTGAAGTCCCAGCCTACTGAGATCCATGAGTCATATCAGGATGCTAATGTGAGTCACTGTTAGGGCCATGATCCTCAAATCAGATGTGTGTGACACCTTCAAGCAAGCATTCTTGTTGACCCACTGTCTGTGGATGGAAGTCCACTTATTCAGGTTAGATTACTAGATCGTGGCCATGATTTATAAAAAGGCTGATTTCTGAGAATTTTAATAATGAAAAAAAAAAGTATACTCTAGTTATAAATGATCTTATCAGAAGTCTGAGGTTGTTTTCTCCATCAGAATTGCAATACACAAAGCTCTACTACATCTATAAAAGACCTCTAACAACTTGTTTTCAACCATAATGGATATAATTTCTAACAGATGAATTTGATTTTCTTGTATTTACCACATCACCAGTTGATAAATTAAAAAGATGAAAATGAACTAGCATAGCAGTTTGTGATTTGTTAACTCAGAAGTAATAGCTAAGGAAACAAAATCCAATGTGCTCACTGCTATGATCTCAAGATATTTTTGGGTTTTTTTTTTTACAGTGACAATGATTTCTCTTTCTTAAAATAAAATAACCTGTTTAGTATCAGAAAAAATAAACATGAAAGCAAAAGATGCCATAACAAATGAGTGAAGATATATTGAGCTCTTGAATGCAATCAGATTTTTATTCTGCACAGGCTGAAGACAGTACATAACTTTACACATTAAGTTATGCACAGATTTATGGGGCATCTCAGTGAGATCCTTAAGCACATGTGAAATGTTCAGCACATGACTAAACAAATGAATTTCACTGGGCCCTCTGACGCTTCACTTTAACAGGCTCACCAGAGTACACATAAGACGTCCTGCTAATATGAAGAAGGCTACTTGGATTCCTCATTGTTTATAAATTGGGATTCAGAAAGGAATTTCCTCAGGACAGAGTACTACTCTTTGCACTTGTTTTATTAAGGGTACAATACTTCTGTGCTATCAAATACAATCATTGCTACTTCGACTATTGCGTTTTATTTCCCAGACATGGCTTAATTTTATGTTACTTATTTCTGCACTGACATGAACAAGAGGTCGTGTTACCAGTGCAGGACAGCCTCGTAACACATGCTCTTGTCCTTCCAGTACCTGCAAAAATATGTCCCTTGCCCTCATTCTCTCTTTTAAACATGGCAGTTATTCCAGTGCCATGTGCAAGATCATATTTCGCCTAGCAGAAGGGTTTAACTTTCACCTGATTTAAGCTACAAACTATCCCTCAAAGATGCCTGAGGCTTTGCTGTAATTAACATAACTGCATTTAGATGCTATTCATGGCCGATAATTCCAACACCTTGTGGAAAAAAAAAGGGGGGGGGGTTGCATGCTGTAAACATTATAAACATATTCAAATAAGCTTAACACAATCTGCCATGCTTATTTCTGCCTAGATCATGGACCAGCGAAATGGTTAATGCAAATGGATTTATAATTTGCTTTGGGGGGCCAGTTTCTTCTCCTTATTTATTAGCCCAGCTGATGGGGCAGATTTGATGAGGCACTTCTGGAATAATTGAGTCATCACACAAAGAAGGCTGCTAGCATTCAGAGTGGTTTTATCAGCAGCAAGCAGGCCTGATTACTGACAATTACACTCTGATCCGGTGATGGAGGAGAAAGAGCCAACGAGTGGGAAATGTCCGTGTTTCTATCCAGGAATAATTTCTACATTCATTTTACATGCTAAGTGTTTCCTATCTCTGCATAATAAACTGTAAACAGGAATAGATGGCACAATGTCCCTTAATATTTCCTGGTAATGAAGACACAAATGTACAGTGAGTGCTGATAAATATAGATGAAACATAAGCTATTCTCTCCGTCTGTATTGTTA